TCTTAAAACGGGAGGATGACACACGGGGTACGAACATACATCCAAAGTTTCAGCCTCCCAGCTTTCCCGGTTTCTGAGATGAAAGTGGGTGACAAAATGCACTCGCTTTCCGAACGCACACACCTACACATACACACACAGACAGCCTCTCGACAACATGCTTTTTTGCTGGCTGTAGCAGCGCTATAGCTGCACAGCAAAAACGCATAAATGGACTAAACTGATTACGCGATGGAAAATATTGTAACTTGAAGAATACAAACGCAATAAGGATGCCAAAAAATGAAACCAAGACATACCACCGGCAGTAGCTGCAGCTGCGCTATTATTACCATTATCAGGATGATTTCGAGAGGAGTTTGGTGCGCCGGGACAAGGTGAAAACGGATTAATTTTATACAGAAAGCACAGATTACATACACGCACCTAAAAAATATCAATTTGTCTATTCAAAAAGAAAGAGGAAATGAAGCAATCAATTATCACTGCTCCATGCAATCCACCAAACACAGAGCCGCTTCCTAATGCATCTTCGGTGACTCTTTTCGGGGTCCGGTATCACCTGGCACAGGTACATTGCTTTTGATGCTTATATGGTGCTTTAGACGTATACAACGGTCAACACAAAAAAGGGCCTAGAATTTTAATTAAAAGAGCAAGAGAAGACATCAGGGAAAACAAATGCTGTGATCAACAGCACCCTCTCCAGTCAGCCCGTACAACCGCAGAGACACTGCCAAATGCGTTAGCGCTGAAAAGGTGCGCAGCAATAAAAAAGTAACTCCGACATGTTATAAAATACTGACTAAAAGTGACTAGAATATACAGAAGATCAAATAAACAACACACCTTTCTGTCATAGCCTAATTCCGGAAGCGGCAATGAATTGGAAGAGCAACGGGAGCAGAAAATCCGTCCACAATTGCGGCAGTGGTGACGGCGGCGGACCAGGGTGAATGGAGCACTACAGGCGGTGCACTGCTCGCAATCACTGTCGGGCACCCATCGAACACCTGCAAACAGAAAAACAAAATCACCACCGTGCATAATTCTTCTGCATAAAACAAATCGGAGTATGACAAACAACTTCACTGCACCCACAAAACCTAAAGTCATCCACATACTTCTGACCGACGCAACTGACGCAAAAATGCAATGGCAAATGAATACATTCAAACGTACAGTGTCACTATACCATGCCTTTTTGTCCTAAGCTGCATATTTTCGACTAACATCCACTGCCTATACTACTTACACACAACTTCCCTCTGAAGGCTGATTTTGCAAGGATTTTTTCGCTGATACTTTTCACTAATAAGCGACGTTCATCGATCGCCAGCAAATAAGCAATAAATCCTGCTTATCGGATTATACAGTCTCGATCGCAACGATACTGTACGAGACACTCAATTTGACACTGAGCCTGATTGTTCACAGAGCGTTACTAACCAACAAATGATGGCAGTGGAAGCGCTTCTTGCACTTCAACGCCAGTCTCTTCTTCATTTTCCGGATTCGGCGCTGTTTTACCCGGTATCTGCAACACATCTTCATGACAGAAACGCCGAAATAGCAATAAAAAATGAATGACTAACTATCCCAAAAAAAATTTTCCTTCAAAAACAAACTACTAAATAACCTAAAAAAAATAAGCCTAACAGGATGCCGATGAAAGAAAAAAACAATCAAATACAAAACCAGCTCATAAACAGGTTGGAAAAATGAGACAATGAAAAGGACGAAGAAAAATAAATGGCAACGCGCACCAGACTAGCCGGTGCGATCATGCGTTTTGTGCAATTCAGCC